TCTTCCGTCCTGGAATGGAGGTGGGTAGTAAATTATACACACTGCCCTCCAAGCTCTTCGGCATGAGGGAGGGGGGTTCCAACAAATGCCATAGACTTGTGACCTGGATGTATAAGAGAGTACATTATATAGGCTGACAGACAATCATAAGCATCCATCTGATTGGACAATCAGTATCGATTTCCTCTTCACCACTTACATCACTATTACAGTTATTGGAGCATTGGTGGAAAATCGGGGGTTTTGGGGTCACAGAAAAGTGAAAACATCTGTTATATTGACGTGCACTGTTCTTACTGCCACATGGAAGAGAAATGCTGGATAATAACCTGCATAAGATGGATATGTTGGTGTTAGTTTAGTAAATCATTTCTACAGACAGACAGGCAAGTACACGTGAATAGATAATATGACAACATACTACGATAAAAATGGATTGGGAATCTTCATACTGTATATGACAAAGTTGGTCCAATTCATCAATAGTTTATACCAGACCTCATACCATGATGTCTATGTTTACCTTCCAAAATAAAACTCAACCTGTAGCAGCGTGACCCAGAAAGATCACCACCCTAAGTGTTCTACTACTATGAAAAGATCTGAAATCCCATTGCAAAGACACATCAGCTGGAGTTTTCTGAACATGCGGAAACTACGTGGGGGGGGGGGGGGCTTGAGCACTGATAAGCCTGAGACACCCGAATTAGTGCCTTACAGTCGTTCTGTTTACATCGGAATCCAAAGTTCCCCACTTCATTTCCTGAAAACCTGGCAATTACAGGCCTTGCAATCACCAAGGGAATAGTGGGGGGGGGGAACAAATAACATTGCTTTAAACATTTTCTAAACATTGTACCATACTTTAAAAAGGCCAGTCTGTCTTCTGATACCCACATTAAAAGATTAGTGAAATCCCAGCTCGCGGTGACATTTAGAGAGAAGCCGATGACTCCTTTGAATACAGATCAGAGTAAAAATAAAATTGGCAGCCTTTAAGTCTAATCAACAGTGGTACCAACACGCCAGACCCCAAAGGCAAATCACATTCAAAGTGTTAGCAATTCCTCTATAGGCTGATTCCTTGAGATGACTTACTCAAAGAGAGACATGCAGAATCAATAACCTGAGTGACACAACATATCCCAGTGCACCCAAGGAATGACTGCAGCAGCCCGGGTTTTGGAACAGAGGACAAAGCCTTGTACAGAATGCTCCAGTGGAACACTTTCCAGGGAGGGGAGAGAGGAGGGACAGAACAGTGACCACATTTAGGAGCAGCGGCCTGGACCATAACTCACACTCTCACTCTCAGCTCACTTTGTCTCTCTATTCTCTGACAGGTCCTATGGCGCTTGGCAATGCTGACTCTCTCCATTCCAAAGGGGATAGACGAATTCATATTCTATGGAGTGTCTTTCAGGCCTCAATGTGCTGCAGGTTTGACAGGCACTTCTCTTTGCCAGGCAGCCCCAGAGGTTTAGCTGTGATCTAATCTGCATTAGACTACATGGCCACTACAGCATGAACAGGCACATGCAACACGCACAGGCAAGGCAGCATTCATACATGACAGGACAAGTTGTGAGGAAAGGTACAGCACAAATGCATACGCACACACACCTAGGATACGAACAGTAAATAAAACACAATTTAACACATATACACAGACAAATACACACACAGCCAACTCAGCATGTATAAAGTACCAACACACACGCACATACACGTGTACACATGCTTGCACACTGAACTGCAGCAGGATCACACATACTGCCTCTCTTACTATAGGCTAACTCCTGTTTAACAACTATGCAGTTTGTCATGCAAATCTATACAGCCCTTCTGCAGTGCAGCACTGCGTACTAGTAAACAATGTTATCGGAAAGCCTCCATAGTATACAATGCACCGTTAATGCACAATAAGCAGCATGGCTAAGCCAGTCACAAAAGCATACAGTATAATTACAGGGATAGTGTTAGACATGGACTAAATGAAAGGGTGAAATGTACACCATGGCTGTGACCTCACTTAGCTGATTGGAGCAGTGCAGGTTACGACGGATTGAAAAGAACCATTGGGTAATTAACAGCCCTGGGATGAAATGGCATGATCATTCTCCTCACACCCAGGAAATAGACATAAAAACACAAAGAAATCCATTATGGAGATTTACCTTCACTTAGTAAACCACAGTGACAATAATGGTCAAAGGCAAGCTTTCCATCATGTTTAGAGCGCTGCGAATAATGAGTTGTCATAAGTGGGGAATCTGGTGGGGATATTGGATTGGCCACGCCAACACTCAAAAAGGAGCTATTATTTTAGCCTTTGGCACGTACAGTGGAGGAAGGCAAAAGGGAACCTTACAGTTATTGAAGAAGGTTGGTTTTGTTAAGTTTATAAGTTGACCTTAGCGCAATTAAATTCTTACCTTGGGAGGGGTTCATGAAAATGGAGTTGTATTAGTGGGTGTTGGACGGGGGGGATATTGGTGCAAAGCACTCAACAAATTACTGCATCTCAACTGGGTGACTAAAATAGACCCTCATCTGCTGCAGTGAATAGTTAACGGCAGTTATACTACAAAATAAAAACTTGAAAAAAAACTCTAACTACCTTGTCAATTATCTGATTTTTTGTCAATTTGAGTCAAGTCTCAATTCACCTGAATCTATCATATCAGTCTTGATGTGAAGGATGTCACATAACCCAAACCTGCCATCATTCAGTGATCAACTTAAGGCAAATATGGAAGCTCTCCTCACCTTTTAGTACCTCTAGATCAAGGAGACAAGTATGCTAATGAATACAGCTATGCCACAGCAGTTTTTTTCTCTTATCCTCCTACTGATCTCCTCTTCACTTCAACCTGGACTCAGGGATAGATGTAACATAGTAAATGTAAATCCGGGACTCTCTAATTAGTATGATATGTTACGTTTCGTATGGTATGTATTAATTTGTGGATGTCCATCATCCATTTCGTACGATATGTTACGAATTCCAATTCATACAATATGTTACAAATTTGCGAAACGTATGATATGTTATGAATTCCAATTTGGCTAATGTTAGCTACAGTAGGTGGCTAATGCTAATGTTAGCTACGTGGCTAACATTAGCTAGGCTAGGGGTTAGGGTTAGGATTAAGGTTAAGGTTAAGAGTTAGGTTAAAGGGTTAAGGTTAGGGGAAGGGTTAGCTAACATGCTAAGTAAACTCAGCAAAAAAAGAAACGTCCTCTCACTGTCAACTGCGTTTATTTTCAGCAAACTTAACATGTGTAAATATTTGTATGAACATAAGATTCAACAACTGAGACATAAACTGAACAAGTTCCATAGACATGTGACTAACAGAAATGGAATAATATGTCCCTGAACAAAGGGGGGGTCAAAATCAAAAGTAACAGTCAGTATCTGGTGTGGCCACCAGCTGCATTAAGTACAGCAGTGCATCTCCTCCTCATGGACTGCACCAGATTTGCCAGTTCTTGCTGTGAGATGTTACCCCACTCTTCCACCAAGGCACCTGCAAGTTTATGGGGGGAATGGCCCAAGCCCTCACCCTCCGATCCAACAGGTCCCAGATGTGCTCAAAGGGATTGAGATCCGGGCTCTTCGCTGGCCATGGCAGAAAACTGACATTCCTGTCTTGCAGGAAATCACGCACAGAATGAGCAGTATGGCTGGTGGCATTGTCATGCTGGAGGGTCATGTCAGGATGAGCCTGCAGGAAGGGTACCACATGAGGGAGGAGGATGTCTTCCCTGTAACGCACAGCGTTGAGATTGCCTGCAATGACAACAAGCTCAGTCCGATGATGCTGTGACACACCGCCCCAGACCATGACGGACCCTCCACCTCCAAATCGATCCCGCTCCAGAGTACAGGCCTCGGTGTAACGCTCATTCCTTCGACGATAAACGCGAATTCGACCATCACCCATGGTGAGACTAAACCGCGACTCGTCAGTGAAGAGCACTTTTTGCCAGTCCTGTCTGGCCCAGCGATGGTGGGTTTGTGCCCATAGGCAACGTTGTTGCGGGTGATGTCTGGTGAGGACCTGCCTTACAACAGGCCTACAAGCCCTCAGTCCAGCCTCTCTCAGCCTATTGCTGACAGTCTGAGCACTGATGGATGGATTGTGCATTCCTGGTGTAACTCGGGCAGCTGTTGTTGCCATCCTGTACCTGTACCGCAGGTGTGATGTTCTGATGTACCGATCCTGTGCAGGTGTTGTTACACGTGGTCTGCCACTGCGAGGACGATCAGCTGTCCATCCTGTCTCCCTGTAGCGCTGTCTTAGGCATCTCACAGTACAGACATTGCAATTTATTGCCCTGGCCACATTTGCAGTCCTCATGCCTCCTTGCAGCATGCCTAAGGCACGTTCACGCAGATGAGCAGAGACCCTGGGCATCTTTCTTTTGGTGTTTTTCAGAGTCAGTAGAAAGGCCTCTTTAGTGTCCTAGGTTTTCATAACTGTGACCTTAATTGCCTACCATCTGTAAGCTGTTAGTGTCTTAATGACCGTTCCACAGGTGCATGTTCATTAATTGTTTATGGTTCATTGAACAAGCATGGGAAACAGTGTTTAAACCCTTTACAATGAAGATCTGTGAAGTTATTTGGATTGTTACGAATTATCTTTGAAAGGCAGGGTCCTGAAAAAGGGACGTTTCTTTTTTTGCTGGGTTTAGTTGCAAAGTAGCTAAAAAGTTGTAAGTAGTTGCAAAGTTGCTAATTAGCTAAAATTGTCCATGATGAGATTCAAACACACAACCTTTGGGTTACTAGACGTTCGCATTATACTCCCACCCTTCCACTACGACTAACCACCCTACTTTTGTTTTTGCCTTAAGTAACTTTAAGTAACCATACCAAACACAACATACAGTATCATAATAATTTGAGAGTCCTGGATTTACATTTACTATGTTATGTCTAGTCTATGAGACCAGGCTGTTCACTTTCCTTATTTTCCTCCTCTTCCCACCCTCTTCCTTAGCTGCCACTCATTCTGATCCTTGTTCTCTTCACTCTTCTGCCCAGCCCTGCATGCCTCTTCCTCTCTGGTGGTACACTGGCAGGGTCCTGAGTGGCAGTCACAGTGGGGTGAATGTGAACAAAAGAGCAAAGCAAAGGTCAACATGACCCTACTGTCACTCAACACCCCCCTCATCTCACACACAACCCCAGGCCCAGGAAGGCTCATCGATCCTGGGGCATCATCAACCGGAAAGCCCCTTGAGTTCCAAAAACACCCCCAATCAACCATTCAGAATATAAAAATAGCACTACAAGTGTGGAAACAGTGACTTGGTGTGACAGTGCAAGGGGTTTCACACTGTCTAGGGGGTTTGGCATAGGCAATGACTCATAGGGAAAGACACAGGAGACAGGAGTACGGTGCAAAGAGGCTTTTATTAAGAAAAGGCAAATGAAATCATGGCTCTTTCAGAGCTCTACAGGGTCAGACTTTAAACGTAGAAAACAAAAGCATGAAGTCGACAGAACTAGCCAAAAGCTTAAACGCTGCAAATCATATCGGTCCTAGCCATACCTCGCATGATGTGCGCACTCCAGAACACTCTCCCCGCAGAGTGAGAGCCACACACCTTTAAGTCTTTAAGCAGTCAATTAAAGGGCTGCCACACCCTCGTTAATGGAACCGTGCTCAGCTGGAGCTTGATCCCCTAGCCAGCGTTCTTCATGCTGGTTAGGCTTGGCCTTGCTGCACCACACTTGGTAAGCTTTGATAATAACCTAAGTAAAACATCATAACCAAAGCAGCAGGTTCCCTTTGTAAAGTTATTTAGGCTCACTATCAATCAGCCTTGAAACCCAGTAGACTTTTGTGTTGTTGTTGTATTTGAACTCTTCCTCACTGATTTGTTTGGTTTGCAGCCAGAAATGAACATCTCTTGTCATCTCTTACACTTTGTTTCAGAGCTGGTACCTTATCACCAGCTGTAACAGCAGAACCTCTTTGTTAACAGAAAATGGTTTGCTTTTACATGTTTTGACGACAGGCAGCAACTCTGAATTAGGACAAGATAAGAAAACAAACCTCTAAATAGAAGTCAACCCACTTTTACTGTGAAAAAATGACTACAGTATTAACTTAACTGATTAAGTCCAACATGCAGTAGTTTCCCAAACACTGAGACTGGCTCAGCAGCATGCTGTCAAGTCATAGGACATTAGCTGTAACTCATCAGCTTTTTGACTGGCTGCATCACTGCTTGGTATGGCAACTGCTTGGCATCCTACTGCAAGGCGCTGCAGAGGGTAGTGCGTATGGCCCAGTACATCACTGGGGTCGACCTCCCTGCCATCCAGGACCTCTATACCAGGCGGTATCAGAGGAGGGCCCTAGAAATTGTTAAAGATTCCAGCCACCCTAGTCATAGACTGTTCTCTCTGCTACCTACCGCATGGCAAGCAGTACCGATACCCCAAGTCTGGAACCAACAGGACCCTGAACAGCTTCTACCCCCAAGCCATTAGAATGCTAAATAGTTAACCAAATAGCAACCCGGACTATCTGCATTGACCCTTTTTGCACTTACTTTTTTGACACATACACTGCTGCTACTGTTTATTATCTGTCACTTTATTCCTAGTTATATGTACATATCTACCTCAATTACCTCATAACCCTGCACATCGACTTGGTACTGGTACCCCGTGTACATAGCCAAGTTATTGTTACTCATTGTGTATTTATTATTACATGTTTTACTTTTCTACTATTTCTCTATTTTCTTTCTTCCTGCATTGTTGCGAAGCAGCGCATCCTTTTTACTGTTAGTCTACACCTGTTTACAAAGTATGTGACAAATAAAATGGTATTTGATCAGAAATAATGCATTGAGTTTTCAAATGTAAGACCTGATTCTTATTTCAGGGCTACAGTTTTCCTATTCTGTGAAACATCGTCTTTTGTATTTCTGGCTTTCAACATAGAGAAGGTTGATTGTATAGAAGTTTAATACATCAATTGGTCAATTACATGTTTTTTAATGTATTTCAATGCAGGCACTGTTACTGTAAGAGGTGCAATTGAATGGCCATTTGAATGACAATGAAACATACCTTATTATAGATCAGGTAATACTACTATTTGAGTGCTTTTGTAAGGGAGTAACTATTCAAGGCCATTGTGAAAGGATGCAGTGGACTATAGGTTGCTGAAGGAGAGAGGCATAAAAATATATATTAGACCCCTTGCTATTAGGCCTTGGTTTATTCTTAGGCTGATCATATGAGTATAGAGGTCTAAGACCATAATCACCAGTCTGCACTTTGACTTCACCTTGGTACTAATTTAGACTGCTTTGATATTACACCAAACTATGAAAACAAGAAATGAAAACAGTTTTTAAAAATCAAAGTGCAATGCCCGCAAGTCTTTGACCACGGTAAGAAGATAAGCAGCCCTCGTGCTATTATGCCACTGACGTCAGAACTAACCACAAAATTGAAACTGTGTCCCCAACCCTCCAGGCCAAAGCAATGAAATATAACAGCAAAGCAATCAATTTCTAAAACCATTCTGCTGTATATCACTTACCTTCCTGCACTGCTTGAAATGGGTTGTTCGCCTCGATACGTTTTACAGAGTGGGTGATTTTCTCGCTTTGTAGAATGTCGTCGTTGAGACTTAGGTCAGAAATGGCAAGTTGAAAAATTTCGTCATCCCTGACAGCGTTTTCCTCAAATATGGCACCTGTTGGAGAAAAATAAAATCTATATAAGCTTACTTTATGGAGAGAACATAAACTGTGAACTGTGCCCATGTTTTTTTAAATTCACCAACGGGTTCATTTGATCGATCATTGTAGGCCTATTTGTTTATAAAATGATAATGCAGTTTACACTGAACCACCTTATTGATTGTTCTGTGGTATTTGTGCCATTTGGATGTGTAGGCTAAATATAATTTAGGCTAGGCTACATATTTACTGAAGTGCCTAAACTTGTCAAAAGTTACTGCTGTGATACTGTAGCCACTCTAACACTGGTGGGACTTTAAATGTTCATAAACACTTTCAAAACAAAAACGCTTTCTAGAAATTGAACTTTCGTTGGGTTGGTCTTTTGCCCATTTATTAGCAGCAAAAATAAAAACATAGCAAGGTTTTAATACTGGCAGATGTAATTACCCTGCTCTCCATACCTGTGTGCATTCCCACTTCCTAGTCACGTGTGCCTATAGACATGTGACCAAAGACCCAACATAGTGCCCTCTAGTGTACAAATGAAGTAAAATAAAGACAAAACTATAAACAACACAACAACCACATAAGTAGGCCACGTTCACATTTAAATATAACTCAGTACCACTGTGCACGCTGTATGTAGGCCTATGCACATGTATTCACATTAAACCATTTAATTTAGAAGTTCTACGCTAGTTAATTTTTGTAACAAGCTCTGTGCCATTCAATTGTGCACCTCACCGTGCACTTTCTGGACCTTCGAGAGCGGCAGTAGACCTACACGGTCACAAACGCTGGCTGTGTAGTACTAGCCTACAGCTGTGGAAACTGTCAATAGGATTTATTTCACATATGGACCTGAGAGCAAAAGCTCCTCGCTATTTACCATTTAATTGTGCGCCTCACAATAGGCTACATTTCAGGAACTTGAAAGCGGCAGTAGGCTACAGGAATTCAATACACATCCTATGAAGCTGAGAGCAGAAGCGTGTTGTGGAGGGAAACATAGAGATACACAATCTATATATCTATGAAGGATATAACCTCGAGGAAAATTTGACCTGTGGTTGACCATCGTTGCGTGTCAGTTGCAACTCTTTGGCTGGTGTCTATTGAGGACAGCGTATGGAGGCTACGCTGTAGTACAGTGGATTACATACACACAATGTCATTGAGTGAAGTAATATGACAAACCTACAAAATAAAGTGATGATATACTTCAGAGACATTATTTATCCTGACATTGAAGGCAAATGTAAGCCATTTAAGACATTTACTGTGTGAGTGTAGCTTCCGTTAAGCTACCCAGCACGATCTTTGAGAGAGAGAGAGACCATTGCACTTCAGCTTTTGTCGGACGCATAAATATTTTTTAAAAAGCGAGATAACCCAATACCACAAACACAGATATTCTCATAAACCAAAAGTGTTGTGTAAGACAATAAAAAGTGGCATGATTAATTGTAATGTCAGGGTTATCTGGGTCATCTGGGTTATCAGGGTTATTGGGGTCTATTAAAACCACACCACAATTTCCATGGAGAATGACCCAGAAGAGAGAGAGAGAGCACTTACTGCTCGTATGTGTAAGCAGTGCAATGTGGAATAATGAATGACATGTATGCAGTATGATAAGTACAAAGTAATGGACACATTTAGGGGTATGCAGCACTAGCCTATGTCTTGTTCTTGAAAGGTGGTGCAAATGTGCAAAAGCATTTGTCACACATTATCACTGTGTTTGAGAATAAGCCCATGTGTCTGTTTATATGTTGAGAATATGCCCATCCATTACTCTTGTAAATAAAAAATACCATATATTTGCACACGTGTGTCCCTCTGTGCATCCTTTGTGACTTCTAGAAAGATTTTAACACACTTAATCCCAACATTTACCCAGGTTGTCACTATCATTTTAAAGCCCTAGTTATTTTGATGCTTTGACAAAGTTATTTCTGCAGATTACCCACTGGGCACACACTGGTTGAATCAACGTTGTTTCCACGTCATGTCAATGAAATTGCGTTGAACCAACGTGGAATAATGTTGAATTGACTTCTGTGCCCAGTGGGTATTATTTATTAAAATGTGATTAATGATTAGTTTTAATGTGAAAAAATATATGTCCCTTTATTTTAAGGTCAACAATGTTATGTAAACTGAAATTTCGTTTTAAAATTGTGAAACTATTCCTTTTTAAATAATAATTTAAACAAAGCATTGAACATCTAATAGTCATTTTTACATTTTACTTTTTGTGTCATTTAGCAGAAGCGCTTACCCAGAGCGAATTACAGTACTGAGTGCATACATATTCATACTTTTTCGTATTAGTCCCCTGTGTGAATCTAACCCAAAATCCTGGCGTTGCAATCACCATGCTCTACCAACTGAGCAAAACGGGACTATAGTGAAATCATAGTGTAAAAGCAGGTGAACTGATTGTACTCTTTTCAGCAATTTTCTGGTGTTCTGTGGTGGGAATCTGAGCAGGTTGCGCATAACACGTCAACGCTGTTACCAATAGATAGACAGGCTAGAAAGGTTTTAACAATCTCATTTTTTGGGTGAAGCTTGCATTCAATTGCCACTCCCTGTTGCACACAACAAGATTCCATTCTCTGTCACAAGGGTATTTATGTCTGATTTAAGACAAATTCGTCAACCCTGTGGTCAACCCTGTTACTTTATTTGGTGCTTAATAGGCACTTACTATAGTATTTTTTTTAATTTTTAACCTATTGAGATTTAACCTATTGAGTTAATTAAGTTTAACATGTGCTCTTTATGACAGAATGTTAAAATTAAGTGAAATAACTTTTTTTTTTACCCAGTTGCACTACTCAAAAGGCACCTAATTGGAACTACCCGGCTGTAGGACTAGTTCCGTTTATCATTTGTACATGTATTTTGTGGAGATCGGGCATCAATTTAAATCCCGCCAACTCTTCTTAACATTCTGTAACATGAGTTCATCTATCTCCGCAATACAATCGGGACTCCTGCTTTTTAGGTGTTGGAAAACTCTGGCAGATCAAACATCAAGTATAAGCTGACAGAAAAGCTCCCTCGAGGTTTAGGCTACATAAACCAGTGTAATACCAGAAGCCTACTGCATCTCTCACAATGAAAACCCGTCTATAGTATTGATGTTGCGATCACGTTCCATTGAAAGATAAGGCATGCGGTCGGGTTCAGGAGGCGGAGGGCTTTAACAAACCATGAACCACACATGGGACTATTGTTTCCCCAAAAGCTAATGGAGAAAAGGCACTGCTACTGGTGGAAAGAAAGGTCATGTCTTTGCTAAATGATTGACATTTAAGACATCGATATATTCCATTCACTTGTTAACTGCACTTTCTCCGATAGCCTAAAAACATCATACACCTAGATGGAAATCGAGTTATGTTCAGGAAATTAGCCTAATATTGACTGCATTCAAACTTTCAGTTTACATCTGACGCAGTCAAAATAGATTAGGCCTATTTATCCCGTAAAATATCCCCGAGGCTGCCCTTCATGCTCTACAGTTTTTACGCGCATCGCATGCATTTGTCTCTGCTATACAAAGTCTTGATTCTAGATGTTTCTGCAGCAAGTCTCACTAAAACCCGCGCATAGCTATCCAGGGTGATTACCAATATGAATGATGGAGTCCGCTCCGGCGGAATTGCATTGCAATATCCACAGGGAAAGCCAGATCAACAGTAACTCCATCTCCGGCTTTTAGCGAAGCAGCTCATCCAAGCATTCTCGGCTGTCGGACAATCAAATGGGGCACCACAAACAATGTCCAAAAACGCTGCAAATCACAACTGTCGTTCAGAAGCCTCAAAACGCAGGAAACACTAAAGAAAAAGTTACAACTGTATTCATAACAGGGGAAATAACGATTTAAAACGGAAAGTGAAGGGGAAATAAGGGAAGAAAGGTTGGGAAACCCGTTGTTATATTCAAAGACAGGTAGTGAGCCCGGCGTTCCGTTTTTCGCTCTTGCCTTCTCCAGCGCTCACCGTGTCTAAAAGCATGGCAAGCTGCAAAAATTCTCTCTCTCTCAAATTCTCTCTCTCTCTCGCTCTCTCACACACACACACACGGAGAGACACACTCACATAGCCTACACACACCTTCTAAATAGAGCATTCGCTCGTTCGCCCGACCCACGTGACTGCAGAGACTTCACGTCTCGGTGCTGTCTGGAGAAGCCGTGTAAAATGGAATATGTTCTAGCCGGAGAGAGACGCGGGCAGAGCGCAGTGTTTTTATTTTAGAGTAGCCTACCTGAGGGCTGATAGACAACTATACAGTGTATGCTTGGATGCAGGTTACTAAATGACTGCAAACACAGAATAGCCGTATTAATTGCCGTAGGCCTACACGATAAACATTGGTAGTCTGATCGAAAATTATATGGTTCTACAAGTAAGTTGTATGACCCATCCAAAAAAATGCATTATGATTTACAGGGCATGATTTGATATAGGCTAATGTCCAGAAAATGAAAGAGCAGAGCAACGGCGCCAGAGAAGACGTGAGCGCAGATGTTGAGCCGAAGAAGATCCATAAGGTGATCACCGGTGAAAGGTGATGGATAACGGACAGACGTTTGACAGACATTATCATTCTTCAGCGCAGAAGTTTCGGTCATAGGAAACAGCAAGTGAAAAGCCCTAATTGACTTGGCAACAGTGGGATTTGACCAGAAGTGAGGATTGAGGATTTACAAACATATTATGCAAATTAAGTCTGATGATTGTGCCTTTCCGCGTTACTTGACTGACTGATTGTTTGGTCTCTTCACAAAACGCTGAACAAGCGAATTAATGGGCCACTTCTGTGGCGATATTGTTGAATGCCTATATGCTAATACCTGAGGATAAATGAATCAATGTCATGCCATATTGAGCCGAATCCAATTTTATGCAGGTTTACAATTTCATGGATTTAAACAGGATGGGTTTAAATTAGACTTGACAATTTATTTAATTGTTATTTTACCCACTCACGAGGACATGTGCTGAGAAGAAATCTCAAGTGCAAGATGAATATGCATGATAGGCATAATCTTACAATTAAAGGATATTTCTTGTGATTGAGCATAAACAGAAATATCTCTTAATTGTTTGGTTAGGTCTACCAGGTTCATCAGCTTTCAGCACCACTGAAATGGACAGCGCCTTTGGAAAACGCTACAAGGACCGCTTGACTTGACTGAACTAGGAGTGATCACTTTGTAGATAGCAGACAACTATGCAGGACTTCATGCTGCATTCAAACACTTTAACAATTAAATTGTTTTTTGAATAACATATTGTGTTGTCTAACATATTAATTTGGTTGTAAATCTTAGACAAGACAAATTTCATAATTTCAATGGCACACATAATTTGGTCTAACTTTGTAGCCTACTAGACTGGAACATTAACCAAGCTCGCCCAGCTGTAGGCCATATTTACCTCAATCATTCAACCACCTATACGAATATCATACTGTATGTAATGCCCACCTAACTTCCACCCCGTCTATCCGGAACGGAACAGAGACATCCATGCACCAATGCCTTAAAGTTCCATTCAAATTGCAGCTCACTGCCACTCTACACACTACAACTGCACCTGCATATTCCCTACTCATCTCTCCTTCGTGCACTGAGGAGCATCATAAAACACCAGAATCATTGTATTATTTATTTTTCAGACACATTCAGTGCTTAATTCTGTGACAGGGTGAGAGGAGGGGGAAAATAAATTAGGTTACATGATTGAAGGTTACTGAAGAAGATTGCTGCATGCAGCTTTACTGAGAAATAGCTGGTTCTGTCAACCTCAGAGGATTAAATGATCCCACTCAAGTAAACACCATCATTGATTGAATGACCTTAGCTGTATTAGGACACTAAATTATTTTAAAAGTTGTCAAACTAAGATATACACATTCATAATCTTTGTTATTTGGTCTTCAGGGAGATTTACGTAGAACCTGTTTCCCAGAGCCAGATTAAGACCATTGCTGCACTATTAAGAACTTTCAATAAAGATATTGAGCATGTGTTATGGTTCAGGAGTAGGACCTGCCCATTGAGTCCATTAGGCATATGTGCTGTGCCCAATAAAGTTATCTTCCCCTCATCTAATTTCCAGTAATACAGTACATTCGGAAAGTATTCAGACCACTTTACTTTTTCCACATTTTGTTACGTTACAGCCTTATTCTAAAATTGATTAAATACTTTTTTTCCCTTATTAATCTACACACAATACCTCATAATGACGAAGTGAAAACAGGTTTGTATATTTTGCAAATGTATAAAAACAATTACAAATAGAAAAACCTTATTTACATACAGTGGGGAAAAAAAGTATTTAGTCAGCCACCAATTGTGCAAGTTCTCCCACTTAAAAAGATGAGAGAGGCCTGTAATTTTCTTCATAGGTACACGTCAACTATGACAGACAAAATGAGAAAAAAAATCCAGAAAATCACATTGTAGGATTTTTAATGAATTTATTTGCAAATTGTGGTGGAAAATAAGTATTTGGTCAATAACAAAAGTTTCTCAATACTTTGTTATATACCCTTTGTTGGCAATGACACAGGTCAAACGTTTTCTGTAAGTCTTCACAAGGTTTTCACACACTGTTGCTGGTATTTTGGCCCATTCCTCCATGCAGATCTCCTCTAGAGCAGTGATGTTTTGGGGCTGTCGCTGGGCAACACGGACTTTCAACTCCCTCCAAAGATTTTCTATGGGGTTGAGATCTGGAGACTGGCTAGGCCACTCCAGGACCTTGAAATGCTTCTTACGAAGCCACTCCTTCGTTGCCCCGGCAGTGTGTTTGGGATCATTGTCATGCTGAAAGACCCAGCCACGTTTCATCTTCAATGCCCTTGCTGATGGAAGGAGGTTTTCACTCAAAATCTCACGATACATGGCCCCATTCATTCTTTCCTTTACACGGATCAGTCGTCCTGGTCCCTTTGCAGAAAAACAGCCCCAAAGCATGATGTTTCCACCCCCATGCTTCACAGTAGGTATGGTGTTCTTTGGATGCAACTCAGCATTCTTTGTCCTCCAAACATGACGAGTTGAGTTTTTACCAAAAAGTTATATTTTGGTTTAATCTGACCATATGTCATTCACCCAATCCTCTTCTGGATCATCCAAATGCACTCTAGCAAACTTCAGATGGGCCTGGACATGTACTGGCTTAAGCAGGGGGACACGTCTGGCACTGCAGGATTTGAGTCCCTGGCGGCGTAGTGTGTTACTGATGGTAGGCTTTGTTACTTTGGTCCCAGCTCTCTGCAGGTCATTCACTAGGTCCCCCCGTGTGGTTCTGGGATTTTTGCTCACCGTTCTTGTGATCATTTTGACCCCATGGGGTGAGATCTTGCGTGGAGCCCCAGATCGAGGGAGATTATCAGTGGTCTTGTATGTCTTCCATTTCCTAATAATTGCTCCCACAGTTGATTTCTTCAAACCAAGCTGCTTACCTATTGCAGATTCAGTCTTCCCAGCCTGGTGCAGGTCTACAATTTTGTTTCTGGTGTCCTTTGACAGCTCTTTGGTCTTGGCCATAGTGGAGTTTGGAGTGTGACTGTTTGAGGTTGTGGACAGGTGTCTTTTATACTGATAACAAGTTCAAACAGGTGCCATTAATACAGGTAACGAGTGGAGGACAGAGGAGCCTCTTAAAGAAGAAGTTACAGGTCTGTGAGAGCCAGAAATCTTGCTTGTTTGTAGGTAACCAAATACTTATTTTCCACCATCATTTGCTAATAAATTCATAAAAAATCCTACAATGTGATTTTCTGGAGAAAAAAAATCTCAATTTGTCTGTCATAGTTGACGTGTACCTATGATGAAAATTACAGGCCTCTCTCATCTTTTTAAGTGGGAGAACTTGCACAATTGGTGGCTGACTAAATACTTTTTTTCCCCACTGTAAGTATTCAGACCCTTTGCTATGAGACACGAAATTGAGCTCAGGTGCATACTGTTTCCATTGATCATCCTTGTGATGTTTCTACAACTTGATTGGAGGCCACCTGTTGTAAATTCAATTGATTGGACATGATTTGGACAGGCACACGCCTGTCTATATAAGATCCCACCGTTGACAGTGCATGTCAGAGCAAAAACCAAGCCATGAGGTCAAAGGAATTGTCCGTAGAGCTCTGAGACAGGATCACAGTTCGGGGGAAAGGTACCAAAACATTTCTGCAGCATTGAAGGTCCCAAAGAACACAGTGGCCTCCATCATTCTTAAATGGAAAAAGTTTGGAACCACCAAGACTCTTCCTAGAGCTGGCCGCCTGGCCAAAATGAGAAATCGAGGGAGAAGGGCCTTGGTCAGGGAGGTGACCAAGAACCCGATGGTCACTCTGACAGAGCTACAGATTTCCTCTGTGGAGATTGCCAGATGGAAGCCCCTCCTCAGTAAAAGGCACATGACAGCCCGCTTGGAGTTTGCCAAAAGGCACCTAAAGGACTCTCATACCATGAGAAACAAGATTCTCTGGTCTGATGAAACCAAGAGTGAACTCTTTGGCCTGAATGCCAAGCGTCACGTCTGGAGGAAACCTGGCACCATCCCTACGGTGAAACATGGTGGTGGCAGCATCATGCTGTGGGGAAGTTTTTCAGCGGCAGGGACTGGGAGGCTAGTCAGGATCGAGGGAAAGATGAATTGATAAATTGATAAATTGATAAAAAC